TGGGCTGCATTTTGCCCACCCCTGCCTATAAGGTAGCATTAATCTTGCAGCTAAAGAAAGTGCAAATTACAGGCCCGTTACGTTTTGTCTCAACGTCCAACAATGTCACTTAAATACAAAGTGTGTGTGCGTGGGGGGGGATTATGCTTTGCTACCCAGAGCACAGACAACACCCACTTTTGAAGTACATATTTTAGCAGAGTTTACGGATTCACACAAGTTTAGGGCTGGAAGAATGCTACAAAATTTCATGTGCTGTGTTGGTAATATTTCTTGTGTTCCTGCTATCCAAAAAAGATGGTAAACCCAACTCATGTCTTCAAAAACAAGCAAAGAAACCCAAGAAAAAAGAAAACAGCAATGAAAACCAAAATCCACTCCCTCACACCTTCAAATGAACCTTCACGTGGAGCTCCAGATCCCTTGCAAGGAGTTCTTGTCTGCGAGTCGGTCCCTCCTTTGCAATGAGGTGGTGGGAAGGTAGGAGGATCTGGGCTGCATAAAGGGGTTTGGAGGAACCCATTCCCAGATGATTCCTATCCCTGAATCTTGCAAGAGCAACTCTTGTGTTTTTATCTTGTCGTTCTTTAGTTTTCTCTTTCCAGCTTTTCCTTTCCCAAGTTCAGGCAGGCCCTTATTGGCAAGACCACTCTCCATAGCCAGCCTCTTACGAGGCTGCTGACCAAGTCTCTTTGTTTTAGCACAATTTATGGGTTTCTTGTTCAAGTTTTTTTCCTTCTGGTCACCTGCCACTGCTTAACATGAAAGCAATGAATCTGCCTGTTATAGTGCTTGATCCCAAAGCATCCTAGCCACATACTAGAGCTGTATTTCCTGAGATTTAAGATTGTGGGAAGGGGAGACTGCCAATAGACCAGTATTTGAGACATCCAAGGGGTTACATTTGTAACGGGAATAGGTGCACATAGAAAAGAGATGCCCTTGCAGCACCGTAAAGCTCTTCCATGAAGTGTGTACGCTAACAATATTTACCGACAGAACGGCTCAAGATGTCTTTAATTAAATTGCAGTGAACTAGAATGTGAATATTTTGCCATGAGCTTGTTCTGCATTTGCTTTGTTTTCAGTTAAATGTGGGTGCCTGCATCTCAGCCTTGCATTGTTTGGGGCTTTTGTCCTCGTGAGACTTTCTGGTTTTTTTAAATTTTTTAAATTTGTTTCCAAATAACAGCCCCTGCTGTTTGTTGTCAATGAGAGGACGTGGTTTAATTGATCAAATTTTGCGAAGGGAAGAAACAAGTCAGTAGTAGCACGTGCACCGGATTGATGTGATTTTCATGATGATGTTGTAAAGAGTAGGAAGAGTCTTGCTGGGTATTTCCTAGTGGTTTTGCTGAGGTCAGGCCTGCAGGGGCTTCTTGTTGTTGGTTTTTTGTTTTGCTTTTTTCTTTTTGCAGTTTAGAGCAAAAGATAATTGCAGGAGAGAGAGACACCTGTTTTGGTTTCTTCTGAAAAGACTGGTGTTAAGCTGCGACTTTCCGCAGTCCTGTCCAAAACCTTCAAAAGGAAAAAAAGTAATTTAAAAAAGTCCAAAATCTGAGGCAGAAAAGGAAAAAAGCCCGACTGAAATACAGCCATCACATTGCCATGTGATTCTCTCAGCCACCCATTTTGACTCCAAATATGCTTCTATCCAGCGTGGACCTGGTGGTGTTTTCTTGCAAGTTAGCTGGAAATGGACATCCGAGTTGCTGAGTCTCATAAGGCTGGTTCTGGAAACCTTATAGATTCATAGATGTTAGGGTCAGAAGGGACCCCAGTAGGTCATCAAATCCGACCCCCTGCCCTGGGCAGGAAAGGGCACTGGGGTCAGATGACTCCAGCTAGGTGCTTGCCCAGTCTCCTCTTGAAGACCCCCAGGGTAGGGGAGAGTATCTCCTCCCTTGGAGCCCGTTCCAGATCCTGGCAACCCTTACTGTAAAGAAGTTCTTTCTAATGTCCAACCTAAATCTGTTCTCTGTCAATCTGTGGCCATTGCTCCTAGTTACTCCAAGGGGTGCCCTAGTAAACAGAGCATCTCCTATTCCCTGCTGCCCTCCCCTGGTGAATTTATAAGCAGCCACAAGATCACCTCTCAGCCTTCTCTTGCAAAGGATGAAGAGATCCAGGTCCCTTAGTCTCTCCTCATAGGCCCTTGCCTACAGGCCCCTAACCATACAAGTGTCCTCCTCTGGACCCTCTCAAGATTGTCCGCATCCCTCTTGAAGTGCAGCGCCCAAAACCGGATGCAGTACTCCAACCGTGGCCTGACCAGTGCTGCAAAGAGGGGACGCATCACCTCCCTGGACCTGTTTGTCATGCATCTGCTAATGCATGATGAAGTGCGGTTAGCCTTGTTGATCGCTTCGTCACATTGACGACTCATGTTCATCTTGGAGTCAGCCATCCCTTTGTGCTGCTGAGAAGGTCATCCCCCAGCCTGTAAGTGTGTTGGTGGTCCTTTTGGCCCAGGTGCAGCACTTTGCAGTTGTCTTTGTTGAACTGCATTTCATTCTGCCCATTTTTCTAACCTGTTCAGATCCGCCTGGTTCCTTACCCTCGGGTGTGTTAACTTTGCCCCATAATTTGGCATCATCTGCGAACTTGGACAGCGTGCTCTCTACCCCCTTGTCCAAGTCACCGGTGAAGATGTTGAATAGCACCGGTCCAGAGACCGAGTCTTGTGGGACTCCAGGTCGATACTGACCCATCCACCCCCACTCTCTGGGTGCAACCCCATAGCCAATTAGCCACCAACATGACAGTGTAATCATCTACATCGCAGCCTGTCAGTTTATTTATGAGAACAGAAGGAGATCGAAGGCTGCCTTATAAATTCCAAAACAATAAAACCTGTCCTTGATGCTTGTTTTATTGCAGGCCTGAGCTGGAGTACGTAACAGCTGGACAGTCCCGAAACATGTCTGTGACCTCCACTCGAGCGATACATATCACTTCTGTGATGACTCATTTTCTGTTTCTGTGCTCTGCAATGCAGTGTCAGGGTGACATCGGTCTTCTGCGCCCGCCCATTCATTTTACTAATAATATCGGTTCCATAGTCTGGGGGAGTGAGAAGTCCCCTTTGAACACCCCCTTGCTTCTGCATCAGGGAAGGAGGGCTGTTGCTGTATTGTTGAAAAGGTGAGTATTGAATAAGGCTCAACATCCATGATCTTACACGCCCATACCCTTGAAGCAGTGGCAGAGATGGCTCCATTGCCATTAGTTTTAAGGAAGAGTCAGTGACTGATTGATCTTACGCAACTCGCATGCATAAAATGTAGCCGCTACCAAGGCAAATGCAACTTTAATCCAGTTGCATCAGTGACATTGCAACCCTGCTGTCATTCAAAGGCCTAAGGAACAGCCTGTATGTGTGTGTTGCTTCCAGGTAATAAGTGCCTGTAGACATGCTGCAAGGATGCTCCAATACACTGTAATTACATGTCGTTGTAATTAATTGAGTCTGCTGGAGCGTGGTAATTACAGTGCTCCAGCACCCTCTGCATCTCATGTATCAGCATCCTTGCACTTCACAACAGCAGTTGGGGTGCTTGAACTAAATCTCATTGAATGAGCTTTAGTTCAAGCACCCCACCACCATTTTGAAGCATGGGGATGCTGATACATGAGATGCTGCAACGCTTTAATTAGAACTGCTCTAATTAAAGCACCCACTCCCACCTGCAGAGCACATCTAAAAGCGTCCCCTGTGCTCAGCCTATGTCTTACTGACTGTGCTCTGAGATCTACAGTCTAACGTGCTCTCCAGTCTCCAACTACTGAAATAGTTTCATACGGCCAGCAAGCTCATCTTCTTGATTCCTTCCTTCATTTGAGCCCTGCCCCAGTTAATTTAACCGTAGTGACGCACATCTTGTATACAAAAGCGTGTCTTACTCTATCCTAGCTCTGCAGTTAGTGCAATACAGGATATCACCCAAAGAAATCCATGCCCCTCTCGCATACCAGCAGACAGGGGCATGGAATTTAACCAATATCCTTTAAAATTACTAACTGACCTCTCTTAGCAGAGTTACACAGTATATCCTTCTGCTTTTGGAAAGGAGTGCCAGGAATTTTTTTTTTTAGGTCAGCACAGGCTATTTTGTTTTAAAACTATAAGAGGGTGCAGCAGCAGAAGCCTCTTGATGGACTTGTTTCTCTTATGCCCCTGCCACACGTATATATAACACAAATAACTGGTTAATCATGCAATAAATTTAGACCAGACACACATGCAAAGTGTGTGTGTGTGTGTGTGTGTGGATATATATATATATATATATATATACACGCACATGTGTATGCATGTATATGTGTGTGTGTGTGTGTGTGTGTATGTGTATATATATATATATATAAAATTAACTGCTTAATCATGCAATAAATTGAGACCAGACATGCATGCAAAGTGTGTGTGTGTGTGTATATAATTAACTGCTTAATCATGCAATAAATTGAGACCAGACACATGTGCACAGTGTATATTATGTAATTAACTGATAAATCACACAATAAATTTAGATTGGTCACGTATGCGAGTAATGATCATGTCATAAAAGTGTCCTTTCAGCTATAAAAGGAGCCAGCCAACTACAAAGTTGGTTGGTGCTTGAGAATGTGCAACAGCTTTATAGCTGGCTTCTCTCCGGCTTTAATTGAAATGTGTGGCTGGGCTCTTAGTAAAAGCGGGTGAAACAAGTGCATGAGTTGTAGGGCTAAAAATATTTCACCAGAAGTCTCCACTGGTTGGGTTCCTTTGAAAGGGAAAAGCACCTCCCGTCAGTGGGGTGGAGCTACATGAGTGGTTGGGAATTTCCCCGCTGCAGGCATATCAATGTGCTTTCCTGCTCCCCAGCAGTCTAGATTCAACCTCTCCTACAATTTACTTTTTTCTTACCTGGGAGACGAAGGTCATGGCAATGGCAGGACCAGGTGAAACCCTATGGGCTTTGTCCTGTTGTACTGCTGGTTTGCCCTTCCTGCTGCTCTCCCTCATCCCATGTTCAGCGTTGACGTGTACTAGCCATGAATATTCCTTACGTGGCATTAAATGCTGCAAGATGTGCGGTCCTGGTAAGTAACCCTCCTCATCTACTGAAACTTGGTCCTACTTCTTAGATGCAGAAGGTGAAGTCCAGCACTTAAGGAGATGGGGAGCGGTGGGGCAATGGGAGCTCTAACCTTCCTTACCTGAGTTGTAGGACAGGTCAAGCGGCTGTTGTAAAATAACATTTCCTAGGACTTCAAGAGTTCTTCCTGGACTGGTATCAATTATTACTGCTCTGAGTAGCATCCTCCAAGAAACCTGCTACCCCCCTGTGAGGAGCAACGTTATTGTTCTTTATACTGCTTCATCTCTAGATATTTCCACTGGTGGTGTTGCTTGGTTCAGATGCATTGCTAGCAGTGAAGCCACCCTACCATCCCACCCAGCTCGGAGTAGAATTAAATAATATATAGGTTAACATACTGGTAGATTCAAAAGTCTTGCACAGTGGTGTGGGGTCTTAGCCCAGAAAAAAATCTACTGCTGAGATGATCATTTTTTCTTAATTTCATGTCTCGGGCCAAATTGTTCGAATCTATGCCAGCCAGCAGTATTCACTGTAGCTATTACTTACATTTTAAAAAGCTTCTGGAGAAAAATCTCTCCTGTGGAGGGTGGAAGATGTGCTAAGAATCAGATGAAAAGCCGAAACTATGGATGGCGGGGCGTCTTGGATGTTTCTCATGTGTCTAGGGGCCAGCTCCACCAGCTGCTGTATAGATTTCAGCTTGTGAAGAGGGTTTGCTCTCTCTGAATTTTGCAGAGCTGCAGCTGGTGGTCTTTGCTTGTTTCCTTCTCGCACTTCCTCATATTTGGTAGAAACGGGGACTGCCTCTTCTCGCAGCCGCTCTTAAAACCAAATGACAGCTCTTCCATCAGCGCCAAGGTGGAAAAAAATAATACACGGGTGCTTTAGCCATTTGGATCCCATTGTTGAAATGACTTGCTAGTGCAGCGAAACTACCAAGTGATGCAACATTGGTATCCAAGGGGCGGTCAGTTAATAGAAAGTGTCTGCAGTCGTGTGAGCCGAGAGAAGTAGGGAGGGCGTACTTCCCACCACGGCAGGCAGGTTAGATCACAGCTGCACGCTTGTTGAAAGTGTCAGTGAAAAAAAAAAATTGATACGTAATCCTTGTAAGTGAGTTGCATCTCACTTTAAAAATAACTGTGCTTTCTGTTTTCATATTCAACTACCAAAATGAATGAGGGAGACCTGAATGGGGGCGGCAGAAACAGAAATTGGTGGTTTCGCAATGATAGTGGTCGAAACAGATCCCAACTCTTCAGCCTTAACTGTTAGCAGGAGGTCTCTGTGTGTTTTCTGCAGTGATGGAGACGTGAGGACTTCTGATTTCCCTCCCCCACCCAGTATGTGAAGCTGGAGATTATTTGCCCCTGATGCCAGCTCCTTTTCCCTGAGATGGATGAGGGGGTTCTCGTTGGCTGGTTAATCGTTAGCGATCTGATTCAATTCTGGGAGAAATTCTATCTTCAGACTATGACTTAGTTTCCTGGTAATGCAGGATATGCAGCAGACAGAGTGTGACTGGATCTGAGTGATAAGGAGCAATGATGAGCGATTCCTTCTGGCACCCAGTAAAATCTACAGAAAAACCTGAGATAAAATGGAAGTGGAAAAAATCAGTAGGTGTTTCTCACTTACCCAGGGGAGGGGGAAAATGGGGAGCCGGGGCAAAAAGAATGAATTACAGCAGGATTTTAAAAGCACTGAGCTTTATGGTGATGGTTGCTGATTTGCAAGTAGCCTTTCCTGTAGCTAGGGCCATTAGCAAGATGGGAGGAATGTGGTTTGTGGCAGGCAGCAAACCAATGCCTTTTTCTCAACTGTCCCTGCTGCAACTTAGATGAGTTGTTTCATCTCTGAGCCTTGTCATCCGGTCTTCAAAATGTATTTTTTTTTTCTTTTAAAGTGGATTAATTGCCTACTTCCTTAGTGGTGTGAAACCAAAGTCAGTGTTTGAAGAGGGTTTTGAGCTCCGCTGCAAATGCACAGCAAACCACCCTGTCATTATAGAGCGGTGGCATCTCGCAGCCTCGGGTCTTGTAAAAAGCTTCGTGCTCCGTGCCTGTAATCTCAGTAGCATTTTACAGCTTGAAATTAGGGCACAAACAAGGGGAAGCAGTCTGTCCACTCAGGCCTTCCTGCGTCTGTCTGCTGGGAGCATGTGAAACAAATGCTGGGGGGGCAGGTGGGGCTCAATCACGAGAGAGACAAGTGAAATAGGTCCTCCCAATCAGCATCAGCCAGGGGTGAACCGAATAAAAGTGTTTGCACCCACCTCTCTTTACAAGTATGATCTGATCATTTCTCTACGCAGCTGGAGACAAGCAAAATAAAACCAGGACAGAAGAGATGCGGCCAAACGTTGAATTTTTAGGAGGCAACAGGCTTCAATTTCAATGCCAGAGCTTGAATTCAAGATTTGTTTAAACCAGGGGGGGCTTCTCCGCTCTTACCTCCCTTATGGGAGATGCTGCTGTCTCCTGTCACCTCTGCATTATTCATTTAAATCCTGACTCTTCCATCAGCTGCCGTATGGCCGATGTGAAACGAGCTTGTGGTCTTAACCCTGTTCTTTGCTCGCTGATCGGGCACGCTAGGAACAAGTAGGTGGGGATGTCACTAATGGTACTACGATGGTTGGGACCTGTCGTGGGGTCTCAGTAGAGAAAGTGTGAGACAGGATCACCCTCTGTCTATCAGAAGTGGTCCATTGAGACTTGTGGGGAAGATGGGACTTGGATGCTGTCAAGCCACTGAGCCCAAAAGAGTTAATGAGTTAGTTATAAAACAAAAGTGGCATCCTTTGCAGCAGAATCTGTTCCCACCCCACCTCCATTTATATTTCGAGAGGACTATATAAAATCGGCCTTGGCCTGGGGGAAGTGATGTGGGGAGTGCTTGGAAGAGCTGACTGAGAACAGAATATTGTAGAGAGGTGATGGAGCGATCGTAGACAGGCCCCTATTGCAAGAGGGATGTACAGGTGTGGCCTTCTAAAGGTTTCCATTAGCAAGATACCATTCAGCAAAAGATAGTTATCTACTTCATGCAACTTCCTTTCTAATTTTAGAGCACCCTTCCTCTTTCAGATAGGCGCCCCCCTCCCACCTCTGACTCAGCAGGCTCAGTGGCACAAGTGATCCGCTGTTTAAATTGGGTTCTGTTCCCAATGGGTCAGTGCAGTTACTCCGTATTAGGTATATGTGCTCCTGCCTGGAGAATCTGCATTTATATCCATATATTGAAAAGTGCTGGGACTCCTGGGATCTGCCACTGACTCAGCGTGACCTTGTCACTTGCTTTCTCTGGGTCCATTTCCCTGGTTGCAAAAGTGGGACGGTGCTCTGCTGTTGAGCGCCGGGATAAAATGGATGGATGGATGTGCCTCCTGGGGTAAGGGAGAGGGAGGGTCTCAGGCTCACTTAATTCACATTTACTTTGCTTTGAGAACTACAGCAGAAAGATGTCTGCACTGTTTTTAACCACTTAATTGGGGAATGTGACACCGGGTCTAGCCAGCAATGTGTTGCTCCAGCTCTTGGGGTGCCTGCTTATTCTTTGTCTGATTCAATGACTTGGTCTTGGTCCCTAGCTGCAGGTACTTCACTTTAGTACGTGAACACGCACAATGTGCTAGAGAAGTGGTTTGCAAATGTTTTGGGCTACCAGCCTGCTGTTAGCATCTTTTGTAGACCACCATACACCCTTGTCTTGAGCTGGTGTGAGGACATGAAGGTGCACGGGGTCCACTACAAGTCACAGATAAGCTGTGGACTTTTCAACACGGCTTTGCAGAGCAGGGCACCGCGCAGGAGACACTGGCCCCTTGTGCCATGGTAGCTCTCCCTAAAATAGCTTTGGTTGTAAACCGTGACATTCAAATAATTGCTGCAGAGAGACGTAACACTTGACATGCACCAGCTGGGAGGATGTCAGGCACTGTTGGTGGTTATGCTGGAGCTCTAAATGCACAGACAGCAACACTGGATCAGAGTCTGCCAACTTCTTCCATGCAAAAGGCCTGTTATTCTCAGCCAGAGGCCTTCACCTAGGTGGACAAGTGTGGGCAGAAGCTGTCTTTATATGTTTTTCTTGGAGGACTGAAAGAACTTCTTCCTGAGAAATATCCATTCCTCCCTCAACCCTGGTCTTTTTTATAGGGGAGGAAATACAATACCGCTGCAAAGAGACAACAGAAACAGTGTGTAAACCCTGCCAGGATGGGTACTATAAGACTGAGTACAGCGAGGGAGACTGCAAGACCTGCAAAATCTGTAACATCAGTAAGTCAGCTGTTGCTTCTTATAAGCTGCTGCTTATAGAGTGATTTTTCTATAAGGGGTAGGGAGGGCTGGTCTGAATCCCCAAGTGTCCTCGGACCTTTTTTATTTCACTCTCCTTTTTCTTTCCTGCTTTAAATTTTTAAAAATAGGTATTTACCTTCTTTTCTCTTTTCTCCCTACCCCCAAACCCTCTTGCTCCTAGAAAAGGGCACCACAGAAGTGAAGAAGTGCGACAAGACCTCTGATAGAGTGTGCATGTGCACCAAAGGCTTCGAGCCCAGCAGGTTCATGGCAGATGGCACAGCTCCATCGGGTATGTGACACACGTCAGATTCGGAGCGTGCCTCCAAGTATAAAAGCCCTGCTGGCTGTTCTGTCGGTTGTCTCCATCTCCCAAAGAGACGTGAGATGCAAAATGCTGTTCTGGGATGTTGTCTTAAGAGGTTTTAATGCACTCCTCATTGACTTCTGTAAATGCTGTACAGAGATGGCAAGAAACCTTGCAAGGAAACA